TATATATATCAAGTTTGTGTACCCAGCTGTCCCTTGGTGTGAGTCCGTCCATTGGAGCCTGTTCAGCCTGTCTAGCATCACTACCTTAAAGAAGATGGACTCTTCTTCACCCAGCAATGATCAGCTGCCAATATCTCCTCAGCTAAGGTGTGTCCTCTTGCCCATTTCCCCAGCTCTATGCTGTTTTTTGTCTGATTGAGTTTGTGTGGGTCTTGGGCATGCTCTCACCATTGATGTAAGTTCATATGAGCAAGTTCCCAGAAGCCTGTAAGACTCCATTTCCTATGGTCCTGCACTACCCCTGGCTCTTATAATTTTTCCACCCCTCTTCCACAATGGTCCCTAAGCCCTGGGTACATGAGGTTTAATATAAGTCCTATCCAGAGACACACTCTGCAGTCTCTTATTCTCTACACGTTGGCCGGTTGTGGTCTTCTCTGTTCATTGACCTCTGTTGCATGAGGAAACTTCACTGGGGAGAGATGAGAGATGCATTAGTATTTTCTCTACCCCCTTTTTCTACTCTGTTCTGTGAGCCTTAGGTGTAGAGTTTCCACTGTAGATGTGTCATTTAGGACTGGGCATCTCACACTTATTCCCATGCATAAAGTTTTAAAGCAAAACAAAGTTTCCATTACCAACATGAACTCCTAGGTGACTGCCATAAGCAAGTGTGAACGTTCTGGCCCTTGAAACCATCACTCTTTGTCAACAGCACCTGCAAAGCATTCCTTTCCTGACTGAGCTTTTGTGTAAGGTTGGGGCTCAGTGACTGTAACTGATTCTGGGATCATGGTGTCCCCTAGCCATAAGGATACTTTTTGCTTCTGCTTCTGCTTTGAAAATAAGGCATGAAGAGAATTCCATGTCCCAAGGCTTCAGGGTCATTATCTTCCTTGGCACAGATGGAAATATTTACTTTTGCTTCACCACTGATATGGCAGCTCTGAATGTCTTTTTCTAAAATTGACAGTTTTTTCTCATGTTCCACAAAGGGAGGGTTCTGGGAAGGGGAAAAATGGAGGAAGTCTACAATCTAATCATGAACAAGAGTTGCCTGAACAGTTCATGCTTAAATTAGTCCCTTCCCAAGTGCCTTTGCTTCCTCTGCCTTGGTGAGACTGCACAGTTCTGGAACTCTAGAAGGAAGGGTTTATCACCCCCGCCAAACAGATGATGAGAGAAGACTCAGGCCTCAAACACAGATGTCCTAAGCAAGCCATATTGGACCCAAGCAGTTCCTGATGAAAGGGCTCCAGTAGGACTGAGTGTTCAGGGTGATCTTATCATCAGGCAAAAGAATAAAAAAAGCATTTTATTTGCAGGTTAAAGGAAACAAACCTAATGCCATAACAGGCCTCTGTCCAAATGAATGCCAGGCATCATGCCAGACTCAGAATAGAGGTAGGTCCAAAATAAAGCAAAACTAGAAAATGAATATCTATTTGACTTGCTGAGATTTGGAGTTGCACTTGGACTTGGTCCACAGAAGTTCCATTGGAAGCAATTTACAAATGGCTGGCATAGACCTGGGTTAGAGGGCTGGTTCTCCATTAGCCACCAGATCTCAACAGTCATTATCAGAAAGGACTAATTTTGATGACTATTCTTGGGACTAGTCTACATCTTAGAAGTAGTAAGTGAAAGACCAAAGTAGTCTCTTCCCAGGGAAAACTAGGAGAGTTTGCACTCAAACACTTAAAGAGTCTTCACCCGAGGGAAGGACATGGCTGTCCCAAGCAGACAGAGGAAGAGGAGGGGATAAAGAGCACACAGGGACAACTTCAGGCTAATGATGACCACTATCCTCACAACTAGCACCAAGGGGAGTTGGAGCTGATGAACACAAGGCACGTACTCTGTGACATCAGAGACATAAGTGGCTATTCCAAGATTAATAAAAAGGAAGTCAAATGCCAGCTGAGACTCAGCTATGTGCAAGATCACTCTTGGGCTTGGCATTCTTGTTGGAACCTCCTTAGGCTGTGATGTGAATCATTTATGAAAGCTTCCTGTGCGGTGCAGAATACCAGGTTGATATTCCAGGGGGCGATGGGCTAGAGCAAGGTGTCCAACCCTGGGCAATCCTAATGGTGTGAGAAAACAGGTTTGATTGCTCTATGTCTTGGAAGGGGCTCCTAATTGGGAGAAGAACCTAGGAAGAGGAGCAGAGTGAGGGACAGACAGCTGGATAAATATTTCTGATATGCATATTTTACTAGAAAGAAAGGTTGTCATGAGAAAGGACACTGTTCTCCTGAGCAGACAAAATAAGATGGTAGGCGGGGTAAAGAACAGGTGGGTAGTAGGAGAAAGTAGGACAATGCCCCTCATATGACTTTGAAGCTACCCTACCATCAATATACTTTCTTGAGGAGAAAAGATGTAGTCATATGATAAAAATCATTGGAGGGATCCCCTGTGTGGAGCCCAAGGTATTCACCTTGTACCCGTAGGGAAGTACACAGCCTAGGCTCTCCTGCCTACATATGGAGTGGTCTGAGATGGAGATGCAACTGTGCCTGCCCTGAAAGTGTCTATGGACACACTTGCCCATGTGGCGATGGGAAAGTGATTATTTATTCAGAGCTTTGTATTTAGTTTATGGCATAATAAATATTCTGCAGAGAAGAAGCAAGTAAAATTTATAATCTAATTTTGTTAAAATATTTCCGTTTCTCTCTGAACTCTCTTCAGTAGAGTTTTTCAGTCTTTCTAATCAAAATGTATGCTATACCCCAATAATGTCAAATCAAAATAACATCTTTACATAGTTCCAGGTACTTCATAATGCCACAGAGGCTATAATTCCCTGCTTTATACATAAGTCTTTATGTTTTATAATACTTATTCTCTTGTTTAAAACTCATAACCGTCTTCAGAGAAAAGCAGGGCAAAGTCTACCCTCTTCTGCCTTTTCATGAGGTGTCAGACTCTCCAAAAGTCTCAGTAATGTGGTCAATGTCACGCAGCCAGGGGTAGAGGGCCTGGGCTCAGACCTGGGTTCTCTATCAGCGAGTTTCCCTGCTGGGCCTTTCTTTAATGATGTTTTCTCCTAAATGAAGTGTGCAGCACTGAGAAGCCAGCCAGCAGCGAGGCAGACCGGCAGCGCAATTGCCGCCATGAGAATAATTTTCTCTGGGAAGAGTTTTCCGTTTCTCACAGAAGTTCTCCTGAACTTTACCATCAATCACAGAAAAGGTCAACTCTCACAGCTGAGAGTAAAGTCATGAAACCAGCGCCCTGTGAGCATATTTCATGTGATCAGATAAAGTTCTGTTTCTGACTGCAGTCTCCACCCGCAGAAACAGACATATCTGCTTGAACTTTGTTCAACCTCTACTTTGCAGAGCTTTCCAGGGTTGCATAGATTCTCTTTGGGCTTTGAACTATGTTCACTTTATGTGCATAAGAAAAATAAATTCTGACAGTTGCTGCCATACAACCTTCTGTCTTCCTTTTTGTTTCCATTAGACTTGTTCAGACGACCTCCTAAATTTGATCAATAAAATGATTATTTTCAAAATTAAACAAATATACAAATAACAGGAACAGAACAGAACTCTGCTGGAGTTGCCATGAGAGCCAGGGTGGGCTTCCTGTCCTTCCCAAACACATCATGCCTATTGCTCCCCCGGGAAGACCCATTTGCCCTTCCCTCTACATTGAATGCTCATCTGTAGGAACCTCTAGGCCTGGAGCGGATCCTTCTGTGGGTTTCAGCTACCACTTCTGCCAAGAAGCCTTGAATACAGAGCACTGCAGGGCCTTGTCCACGGTTGACTGCAAAGCTCTCCGGGCCTCAACTAGGTTCTCAGCTACTTTCTTCTTGTTTTCACTCTCCTATGTCCCTCTTCCTACTGTGTTGGCTCCATAGAACATCTGATGACTGTCTTGTGATAAAGGACACATATATACTAACTAGGGACAATGTTGGGCTTGAAGTTGAGGGTGCGAGTGGGCTTGTGCTTCTGCTGTGTGTAGAATGCACTACATTCTGGAGACACTGTTTATTTTGTACTGCAAACCCAACGTGGTGGCTCTGCATGGCATTGAGGAGGTTTCATACAACCACAAACACAGGTGTGTAATGAGGAGTGTGCCTGTCCCTCATCCACTGAGGCCCTGTATCCTGGACCATTTCATGGCAATGTCTGGCAAGGAGAGTGTCTTCTGTACTGAGCCTTCAGTCACTT